TGCTCCTACCGACCTTAATTTTAAAAGAATTCCTTATTTTACCATCTAACAGTTGCTACCATCCTATCCCCTGCTGGGCCTGTTTCTTATCTATTTTTCGGACGCTTATGGTCACAGAAATTGAGGTAGAAATTGGCTATTTGGTGTATAATTAGGTAATAGCCTGGATTTGAGCATGAATGTAATGTTTCCGTGCATCCCTACCCTGCATCCCTGCACCAGACCTGCGATTATTGAATCACTTTATTTTATTTGGAGCGTATACTCGTCGGCCCAAACTTTCATTTTTGTATGTTTTACGGCTATATACGACATCTAAAATGAAAAGCTACGAGTTGATACCAAGGATCAATAGTAAAGTGTAAAATAGATATTATCTAGTTTTATGCCTTCTTTGTAATATCGGTAAGTCTGCTATAAAACAAAAATTCATATAATTAAATCCTTTGGTATTTGATATATTCCACACACGAGCATTAGCAGGGAAACCGGGATTAGGGATTACTTACGCAAGAAAAGAGGCGATGTGGACGAAAGCAGTGGAACAAATGTATCGAATAGACTTGCAACACAGCAGATAAAGAAAAACTATAAGAAAATATTTTATTCTTGAATTCCTTCAGGCTCTTTTTATTTGCGTACTTGAACTCCTACACGACATAAAAGAGATATAGAGTGTATTATGCAGTTAACAGGTTAATAGCGATACAATTTTGAGTTGAGATAAATCTTTATTGTTTATTTTATATTATTTACATATGAAATTCAGCTTGGCAACCGATGGCAGTAAACAACACCAGTTAATTTTAGAATCATAATAACATGTTAAGATTGCGAGTTAGTTTAAATACGACGTAAGCAAATCGCGCGTGTTAAACATATCCATTTTGTTAGGTTCTAAGGAATTCGATTTTGAGATTAAGCGGTAGACATCATTTAGGTTTCTGCAAACAACTATGAACGGATTAAACAGCTCATAATCATATTTACATTAAGTAAGCTTGAAAATAAAGTGCTAGAGAAGGGATTAAGGACATTAAAGTAATGTGGACGAATCAATACTACCATTTATTAAGTTACTTAAAAAGGAGGAACCACCAGGAATAAATCTTCGTTTTTCAAGTGACAGCAAGGCTAACAAAAGAAACCTGTTGTTATAAGAAAGCAAAGAGACAAGTGGGTCCCATACCAAATTCCTGAAGGCAAAGAGCAGGAATTGTTGTTAAACGCATTGGATCTACATAGTGCCTATAGGAAGGGGACCACACAGCAGACGCATATTTAATTATCGGTCTCACTGAGCTCACATATAGCCTTGTAGTAGTAAGGTCTCTAAGGTCCTTACATCGCCGTTTAATAAAACCAAGCACATATCTAACTTTATTTACAGAGAGATGAATGTGCAAGTTAAAACGAAGCTCCCTAAGACCATGACCGAATTTACATTGTCCACTTTTTGCGAATTAATGAAATGATCAGTAGCGAATAGAGCCCTCCTTGAGAATGAAAGCTTCTAATATTACTCAAAATTTCATTTCATAAAATTTAGAGAGCACCACTCAACCAAGTTGTCTAAATTAGGATATACGTGAAGGAGATAAGAGTGCGATTCCAAGGAAAAGGAAGCCATGCTGAAACAGAGAAATATAGGATTTGGTATTGAAAGCTATTTTGTAAGTAGCAATTCGTTCAAACAATTTACATAACACTCAATTTGGCAACGCCTTTATGTTTTCGGGCAGATGTCTTCTTCTACCTTTGTGAATTGAAATAACGAACCCGCTCTTCGAACAACATGGGAAAATACCCGTTTTCAAAGAAAGGTTACAAATCTTTGTGATAACAGCACATAATTCCGCAGATCATGACTTAAGTATACATGACCGAATGCCATCAGGCTCCGGTATTTAAATGCTATATCCAACTATATTCAACGCAGATCCGCTTTTCATGTATATTTAGAAAAGTTTGCTTTTCTTATTTTTGTTGTACTTAATTACTTTATTGAATCACTGCGAACAAGTATTCTGAAGAGGCGGTTGTCTGCTCGGGACGGATGCACAAATAGCTAAGTTTCATACATTATAGAACGATGATATTGGCGTTTCCATATTCCCAGTAGTAAAATCTAGCGTAATACGTGGGAGATGAGATTGTATACTTGAGCAAGAGTGATTGAACATGTTAGTGTTGTATATTGAAAGGAAAAACAAACTGCCGCATGATACGGATCCTCAGCGAAACTAAAAAGCGGCCTCTCTGGCAAATTAACAAAGCAAAGATCCAGAAAACTGCGTTTGCAATTAGAAGTATGTTTGTATTGAAATAGGTTTCCGCCAAAAAATTCATTGAAAAATATACCAGCTCTCTCAGATGTTGAAGTGGGGACTATGCATTCTGAAGTATTACTGTAAGGCCAAGTGACTTGCGCTAAATTAAAGTCACCCAACATTAAGACCACATTAGAAGGTTTCGAGGATGGATAATTCGGCGACACCTCAACAAAGGACAGCATATTTCTTATAAGTAGAGATGTTTTCGTTTTGAGGAATGTGGAAGAACAAATTATACACAAATGTTTGTTATGAACTTCCACACAAATGGCAATAAATTCGAAGTTGGAAGGAGTTGAAAATTCAAATGAGTAGAACAGAAAGATAACTGATATGGCAACTACAACGCGACCATCAATACGATCAAGTCCATCTATTTTGAAAGCATAGGAGGTGATGGCGAAAAGTTCCGAAGAATAGCAACCCGGCGAGGTTTCAGTAAAAGCGAAATAAGTGCTCACTCAATTTAGATTAAGACCACCCACATTTCATATATGATAGCTAATCGGGCTTTTATAGTAAGATAACATTTCACGTTATCACTAAAGGTGTGCGGCGCCGGTCTTGATACAAATATTGTTTTCCGTGGCGAAACTGCTGTCAAAGACATAACAATCCTGTTAGAAAGATCAATATTTAAAGCATTAAGATTCAAGGGTAGTGAATTTTGGGAGGAGAAAAAATAGAGGGAGTGATTCTGCTTGTTTGCGCAATTTTGCGCTCTAAAGCCACAATCACCCGAAGCAGGGGGTAGGAAGCTTTGTTATTTTTGTCTATATTTTTCTGAGGCTTTGTTTGAATGTGAGACGACTTTGCAGAATCAGTGCAGCTAATATGGGGAAGGCTGTTGAAAATAATAGTCTCATCAGGTTTTCGATAGGAAAAATTTAATATTTGATTTGACGATGACAACTCCATAAGTACCATCGATAAAGCTAAGGAAGGGGTAGGCTAACATGGGCAGATGTACGCAAACAGGGAGGTAAAAACCTGCAAGCTACACTACAGGTTGGTCTTTCACACTTTGGACGAGATGAGTGCTCTAAGTAGCGACGCTCATCGAACATTGTTTTAACTTTTTTACAGGATTTCAGGAGTTCCTTACTTATTTGAGAAAACTTATTTTTTGTCTCCGTGAAAAATCGATGACCAGCTTTCTGCACTCGGAACATGGATGGATCCAAGACTGCGCCTACAGAAAGTCCAGTAATTGCTGCACAATTCGCATGAGAGTAATGTCTACAAAGCCGATCAGATTCAGGGTCTGTTTTGCATCGACAGGGTGTAAATAAACAATCCATGTTGAAAAACAACAGACAAAGACAAAAAGTTTGTCACGTATTCACAAAGTTTTCTAAGCATGCAAAATTTACACTATTATAAACAGGGTAAACAACTGTAAACGAAGCAAGCTAACGCGTATATTTGGAAAGCCAGAAGAAACAAGAAACAAAGAAAGACATGTTTTGACGAAAGCTCCAAGTGCTGATCACAAAAACCAAAATGGTATCCACAAGTAGAACAAGGCGATGGCTATAAATTAAAGGCAGAGAACTTTGCAATTGTTTAGGCTTAAGGCCGTAAAAACAAAAAAATAAAAAAGAACTACAATATTTATACGCACGAAACTGCTTAAATCAATTAAAAGTTGTTGCGCTGCTTTGTCCACTGATAGATCCAAATAGTGGCTAGCTGATTTGAGGGAAGTTCCTGATTAGATGGACTTCGCCGTATACTCTGATATTTCCGCTAATTTACTTGATATTTATGACAACAATGACATCAAAGTAAAAACATCACTATTTGACGGCACCACTAACTTCAACGCAATCAAGCTACAATTTGGTGTTGTTGCAACAAAAAGTATGTGGGATGATGACGAGCAAGTAGACCCCTTAATAACCTTCTTCAGAGGAGCAGCAGCGGAAATTATCCAGATAATCCCGGAAAGAAAAAGAACGGAATTCGCGGAAATTATGGATGCATTGGAAAGGAAATATGGTAGCAAACATGAGAAGAAGGTAAGCCATCTAGAGTTGTCTTCGCGCTGCCAGAAGCTGAACGAAAGGATCCAGGATTACGCTACCGAAATCGAACGCCTGGCCAATCTCGCTTATATCGGTGTGTCCAACGACGTGCTGGAACGATTGAAAATCGACGCCTTTGTTAGTGGAGTTCGTGACGCCGAGCTTAAAAAAACTATATGGACGTCACCTAAAACAACGTTTACGGAAACGCTTGGCTTCGCGCTTACATAAGAAGCAGCTAGTGTGCTATGGACGTCAAGCAGGAAGGCGAAACGCACGGAAGTTACCAGCGAGAACGATAATTTGGATGTGGTCTGCGCGGCGCTTCGGCAAGTCCTGCGCGAAAATAAGAAAGTGCCCGGTTCAAAAACACGCAAGTGTTATGTCTGCCGAAAACCTGGTCATTTTGGGGCTGCCGATCCAAACGCAAAAGGGCACACTCCACGTCACCTACACGGGATATTACGGAAGGTGCCCGCAAGATATCTAACGAAGAGGCATTAAATTAAAGAGAGTCAGCACAGCGGGGCAACGGCTGACTTAGAAATTTAGTAGCCCTAGGATGGTTATTACTTAAGCAAAGAGAAGTAGCAGCAGCCTAACAATCGATGGGAAGATCCAAGGCTGTAACCACATCATCATGCTGGACACTGGTGCCTCTCATTCAATTATCAACAGTGCAATAGTCAAAGAAAAGTTCGACCCGATAGTTGTAGCACGGTTCCAAACGGCAACAGGTGAGGAAGCTGCTATTAAAGGTAAAATTATTAGAAACATTTCGATTAGCGATGTTTCGATGAAGCATGAATTTCTGGTGGCAGATATAATGGACAAAGCGGGGGGCATCTTGGTATCACAAAAACCGTGGAGAAGATCAAGGAAAATTTCTATTGGGTAGGCATCAAGGATTCCGCAGCTGCATGGATTCGCAACTGCGATCAGTGCAGCAAATCGAAAGGCTCGAAAAGTAAGCCACGAGGGTGCTTGCAGCAGTATAATGTGGCTGCACCGTTCGAAAGAATCGCAATGGATATTGCTGGACTATTTCCAGCCAGCAATGCAGCAAATAAATACGTACTGGTAGTCATTGATTACTTCAGTAAATGGTCAGAAGTATACCCCATAGCTAACCAAGAACCAGTTTGGAACCCCCATCGAGCTGCATTCAGACCAAGGTAGAAACTTTGAATCTTCGATCTTTCAAAAGGTTTACAATTATTTGGCATTAATAGAACCAGAACGACTCCGTTGCATCCCCAGTCTGAAGGAATGGTCGAAAGGTTTAATCGAACGCTCCAAGGACATCTGCGAAAAGAGATCGACGACAATCAGCAGAATTGGGATGAAAACATACCAATCTTTTTCATAGCATACAGGTCATCAGTGCACAACACCACTGCTCTACCCCCTGCGCAGATTTTGTTCGGGTCTAATCTGAGGCTAACAGCAGACTTGAAATTCGGGACACCCCCTAATGTCCAAAGGACCGAGACCGAATATGTTTCTAGATTGAGAGTGATGTTGGATGAAATGCACCGACAGGTTCGAAATAAAACGCAAATTGTAAGTGACAGAATGAAAGCAAGATACGATCTAAGGGCTAACGCTGACGGATTTAAGGAAGGGGATTTAGTGCTATTGTACAATCTTTTAGGTAAAAAAGGTATGTCACCAAAACTGCGATGTAACTGGAAGGGTCGTACAAAATCATCACAAGGATAAATGACGTAGTCTACCGAATACGAAAACATCCCGGAGGAGGAACTAGATTCAAAGTGGTACACTTGGACCGACTGACCGCATATCGAACCGACCTTGCTCGGGACGGTCAAGATTAAGTGGAGGGTAGTGTTACGGAAAACCCATATCTAGTTAATTCCAGCTAAGGCATTTTCTAAAATAATAAATTCCTTAAAGAGAAAAAGAATATTTGAGTTAAGCAGGCGAAGGAATTCCAAAAAATGATTTGTAAATAATCCCACATTTAAAGAAATATAATTATAAACAAAAGAAATTTGAAGTGTATTTCTTTTAAATAAAATAACCGCGATCCTGTGATACGGACTGTATCTTATAAAAGCGAATTTCATAACAATGTCTTAAGAAATATATATAAAATCTATAGTGAGTTTATTAATATTGAGTTTTTTCGCTCCGCAAAAAGTAAATGCTTCTAAAATCTAGCCCATTATACAAACATAAAAATCAATTTTACTATATTGTACTACTAGAAAATGCATATTAAAAATTAAAAAAAAAACAAAAATCATTTTTCCAGTACACAAGAAAATTAAATAACTTTAACAACTCAAACAACATAGCGTTTTTATTATATAAGGAAGAATACGAAGAAAACAAATTGCATATTATTAAAAATTGATATTTAGTGGGGTATCCGTTTTACTTTATAACGTCATTTAGACTTTTTCACATTTCTGCCTAATTTTGCTTGTGTAGGAAACAGATATCTTATTCCATTCCTGTTCACTTTTTAGCTAAGGCCAGAATTTTCAAGAAAACACTAATCTCATTAATTTCGTTATATTGGGAGTTTTTCCTGGCAAATTCTAATCTTAGCTTCCTATTACGTTCTTGTATCAGCAACGTATGACAAGCATGGCAATGGTGTTGTTGTAGTATGCATTGGGTATACAATGGAGTCGCAAAATTGGTGTTTACAGACCGTTTCGAAACAACCAAAATTATTTAATGATATTGAAGGAAAATTTGAAAGATAGTGCGGACAACGTTGGAATTTTGGACACATTCAAATTCTACCAACATAACGACCTCGAGCATAACTACCGCTTAATTCAAGAATCGCTCTTATATAACTGTCCCAAAGTGCATATTATGCACCCTCTACCACAAATCACCAGGCATGAACCACATAAAAAAAACAGACCGCCCTATGCGAAAAATCAGAATCTCTTTCGTCCAAGATCTAAAAAATAGACTATAAGAGGAATTCCTACGTTTTTTTTCGTGTTCTTCCTTAAATGAAAAAAAACCCCTATTAATGACGATATGTTTTTTGAGTTGTTGAAGTTTTTTGATTTTCTTCTCTACTGGAATAATGCTCTGTTGTTTTTCTTATATTTTAATATGTATTCACAAGCAGTACAAAATAGGAAAAGAAATTTTTATGCTTTGACAATGAACTAGGTTTTACAAGCGTTTTTTGTCGGCCAAAAAAACATGATATTAATGAGATTCATTGTGCTTTATGTAATAAAACACAGATCGTATGAACTAACGAAAGCGGGTAAATACGTGAAATCACAGTAGGGCGGTTTGTTCTACAATATTAAGCTTTCCTTGCATCATCGAAAGAAAGGGGTAAAAAATTTGACCTCATAATTACGCTTCATAAATTACTTGTTTCTAAAGCAATTTATTCGTTCATTGTATTCTTTTATATTTATTTAAAAAATTTGCCAAAATTATTTCGTCTGAGCATTCTCCATAATATTTGCGTTTGTTGCTTTTCTTAATGATGTGTGGGTAAGAATATCAAGGAAAATAAGTTTGTAACTTTGCCAAATATTACTTCCATCCATAACTAAATGTAAACGTTTTCCAAAATTGCAATAAAAAAATTCATAGGACGATTTCTTTCGTCTACTCATTTTTCTCCTCCCACTTATTGAGATAAAGAAAGACAATGATGACATGAAAAAAAAATAATTTTCAAAGCTTCATGTCACTGCACATAAAATGGAAAAAGCAAAAGACCTTTAAAGGGAACACTTCGACAGCCTTCCACTGATGAAATCGAAATTTGTGTGTTGTTCGGGGATTCGCAACACGGCTAAACAATTCGCCATACTGTATAACGCCAAGGGAAAGGCTCATCCAGTTTTTTCATCAAAATCCAATGTATTTTTCTTATATTTTACATAAAGTTGACCCGATTATATATGTGCCATTTTGATCGATAACATTTTGTAAATTTTTTGGTAAGACCGTTGTTTCGTTGCTATAGAATTTCTGAAATGACGCAAGTGGTTTTTTACAGACAGACCTTTTTTAGAAGCAAGGCTAAACGAATGAAGCAAGATCGGTCCCGTATGGTGGATGCATCATCAATTCCTAACTGGGTTCTCCCATTTTTTTTTGGAGTCATTACAGATCTGGTATTGTCGAGATGGAAAATTAGGCAATCCTTATTGATCTATACTGAAAGTCAAATCACTTTCCAAAAACTTCCTTGAGCAAGCAGTGGAAGAAGTTTATATTAAAAACAAAAATAAAGGTAAGAAAATACCGGATGAACTTGTCTCGCGTCGTAATGAGTCTGTGAATTGTTTTACCGATTTCTAAATCGATGTCTGTCACGTGTAAAATATTAGGCGCTTACATGTACTCCGATCACTTTTCATTCCAAAAAGGACATATTGAGAAAAATTTGTACAATATATAATCAATATATTAATCAAAGTATTTTCCATCAATTTTTAGAATTTTTTTAGATTTGCAAAGTTGGTGGATAAATTTTTCTTAACAATATGGAACTAGAAGATGAGAGATAAATTTTATCTCATTCACTTTTTTATAATAATGAATAAGAGCATGGACCGCTAAGCATTTTATTGGTGACGGGTAATGTGGATTCGGCCCCAACCAGACGCAAGTTTCTTATTTGTGTTTTTTCATAATTAAATTTCACGACTTTGGATATGCATTTATATAAAAAAATTATACAACTGACCGTGATTTTCAATAGTAGACATAGAATAGAAGACAACTTAAACAATCAATACTGCAGAAGACATTTCAATAGCAGTGTGTATTGTAGTTGGCCCAGCATATTATTGAAATATTGCTTTCAACACTTTTTAACCAACTGAAAATCAAAAGGGATTAAGAAAATTTGGGATGCAGATTAGCATTGCTACGTGCGCATAAACAGACGAACATAACACACATTAATCTATGTATTTTTCTCAGAGTAACGACGATTGAAGTTTATTTATGTTATATTTTATTAAATCAACCCTTATGCTAAGGAACAGAAAAATAAGATTAAACTCTAAGCTCTTGCACGCATTGCACTTTTTGTCCTTCAGAGCAGCTTTGACATGTTTTCCATTTTTAAATGTTTAATGGAAGCACAAAAAGCCCTGAGGAACGATTAATTACCTGCAGCAGTTATTCAAAATAAAATCTATTGTTGCACACATTTACCTGTCTAAGTCTTTATAGCTATTTTTGTTTTTTTAATGCGATTTATTCAAAACTCTTTGAAACAACTTTCTTTAGCAGAGTAGGGAATTCTTGATATGCCAATTTAAATATTTTTTATTAATAAATGATTGCGTTTTTTGATCAAAAGTTTTTCATTCAGATGCTCGTCAGTCACAAACTAATTAACATTTTTAAAAAATTCTGCGTATTTTGCTTTCCATAGGCAAGTATGTTAAGCGATTTTTTTAATTTAAATTTGCCACATCTACACTGCTACACAGTTAAGTTGAAGATGCCAAGCGAGAAGTGTGATATCATTTTTTAGTACGTTTCATACTTAACTTTTTTCTTGAATACATAAATGTATGCTTAGCATATTCTCGAATATTATTATTATGCTGCTACAGCGGTTTTTCCTTCTTAAGGGGTAATAACAACTTGTGCTCGAGAAATATAGGACTAATTTATTTATAAAAATTAAAAGGTTTTTACAATGAAGGCAAACAGCCTTACAACGCTCTTATTTCCTATTTTTTCAAAAAAAAATCGTAACTTTCGTAAGAAAAAACTTTTTCCCTATTTGACCTCCGTTATTGCCCGCCGCAGAAATAATAAACCAAAAAATTTGTAGAAATATGATACATAAGCGTAGCGATAGAAAGCATCAGAAGGTTCTCTCAAAACATTGCTTTCAAGGAGAACGTGGTGGATTTTATATATATTATATCCTGAACCATTTGTGGGCAGGGATATATTAGGTTTGTACGAGTGCATGCACCACAGAAGAACTTGAGATAAACTTGCCTTTTCTTACACCTTGAATAGCCAGTCTGTCCATCTTGTTTTATTGTGCTTCATACGTTCATTGCGTCATTCGAAATTTCAAACCGTGCAACAAATCTGCAACGAATGTTAGTTTAGACCAAAAATACTTCTCAAAATTGTTGAGGCTTTGGCGTTAAATTGGTACGATAATCTAACGAACTAACAAACGCGCATTCGTAGATGTGTGCTTTTTGTCATTTTCTGCCTGATCCCATTCTACGAACTTCTTATTTTTGTTTATTATGTTTTTTTTAATCTACTGCACAAGTTCATTGCTACTACCCTCGTGAACAACAATTCTTCCATTCAAGCTTATTGTTGAAAGTTAAAGTCAATGAAAGGAAAACATGGAGAAATTGATTGACACTAACATTACCCAACATTAGAAAATATTTCGCAACTGACCAGCGCAATAGCAAACCGTTCGCCAAACCAACAACTGGAAACATTAATAGGATACAATGTCTATTGGTCAGCATCCCGAACGTCGACTACCTTTGACAAAAACCAAAGACAAACAGAAAGGAATGTAATTTGCAAAGGCATTAGTGTCATTACTATAAATACATGCTGAAGTCGTTGCTGTCTTTTTCTATTTGTAAATGAAGTCAATGAATTTTGATTTACGATTTGATGAGCAAAACAAGTGAGTTCGAAGCTCTTCGCGATGTTATTTTGTCAAAAAACTTTAGAGGGCGGAGGAAGAAAAA